TCCTCCTCCTGGGCACAGATCCAGAGCGGACGGAATCCGCCCACTGCGGGCGGGAGCACTGCGGGTGGCGCATTTCGAAACCACTTCCGCCACCGCAGGATCGACTGGTGCTGGGCTGGACGCAGACAACACCCTGCGTCGAGCACAGCGCGAGGAAACTCACTGCGCTGCACGAGAGGACGACCCAGCCGACGGGCTGGGCAGCACAGTGGGAGCTCCGACCGCCACGGTCGGCAGGGTCAGCAAACGGAGATTCAGCACGCGCTTCCACGCACCGTCAATCTTGAATTCACCAGCTCGCAGGCGATCGAGGATTTGCCTGCGATCTTTGGATAGCCTGAGGGGCTTGCACTCTGCGGCAAGTGACACCACACGGGAGGTGGTGAATGATGCGCAGGACATACAGCAAAACACAGGCTAGATGCAACATGAAAGGTCCCCACCTGATGAGCTCTCAACCCTGCATCGCGCAGCTCGGCTTGCGCGGCGAGGATTCTCTGCTCAAGGGTGGGGGGCCCTGGCTTGACAAGGATTAAGGAGGGGGCTGCGGAGGTGCTAGGACGCTGGCGGCGCATGCAATCAACAGACGCGGCCGACTCACCTGCTCTCGCTATCCACCTCCCAGTCAGTCCCACCATCTTCCTCTGCGTACTGAGTAACTTCAAAAACTCGGGTGGCACGCGCAACTCGCGAGCACGCCTCTCTGCCTCCAGGTCGGCAGCGTCATTCCCGAGCTTGTCCCTGAGAGAGTAACGCCCAGAGTCAACCCCATAATCAGTCACATGTGCCTTCACCTTCCTAACTTCAGGTACCTCCCCCCCCCCAGTCATCGATTTTCAGCCAGACCTTTTTTCCACGGACAGGCCCAGGCTGAAGATGCATGCGTGGTGGCGACAGGACCTCGAACGTTCACGCCGCCCCACACGAAATCCGAGTCCGCGTGAAATACTGCGGGCGGCACTGCAAACAGAAGGGAAGCATAGAACGCAAACAATTCAGCTCCGTCAATGTCTTGCAACGGATACGGCAACATACCCGTCAGGATGCACGTGCACTCGTTGCTGTGCGCTGCGAGCGCAACGACTGCCCAGGCAGAAAATCCACGATCAGGATAATCAGTCGTAAACGATCCGTCAAGATACAGATCACCAGTAAGAGCCTGCGGGTCACCGTCCCACTTGAGCTCAGCGCCAGTTGGCACCTGCAACAAATACTGCGGCACTTGCGGCAGAGGCAGGAGACCACGCTCAAGAAGTAGAAGCCCCAGGGGATTCAGATCCACATGTGGCCTCAAGAGACGAATGGGAACTGGGAGTGCCTCTTCCATTGCCTGCAGCATCTTCGGGCAACCAACATGTCTATGAAGGGGGCTGCCGAGGGCTCTCTTGCATGCAGGCAATTGGGGGAGGCAATCCAGCCTTGTTGAAATTGCCGTTGCTGAGGCCATTGAGCTCCAATAGAGGCACTCCGAAGGTAACCACGCTGCTGCCAATTGAGGGAACCCTTGCTGAGGAGGTATTTCAGGGGCCCACTCCAGAATCCATTGCGAAACTCAGGGCACCCCAGATGCTCCGCGACTTGATGATTTATCCAGCTCCGAATAGCACGCCTGCAACACTGGATGAAGACCCTGGGGCAAATATCTTCCAACATAATAACAGAGCCTTCCGGTAGCTTCCAAACCAGAGGCTCAACCACGACGATCCCGACCCGATCCAGAGTGGCATACAGGGCCCCGAAAGGCCCACGAACCAGTGGCCAAGGGCTGGCCTTTCCAGCAAGCTCGTCAGCGGCCGCACTTAGGCCGTGCTCCAGAACATGCCGAGGGACGAGACGAGACCAAAGGACCGTATCAAAGGCCTCGATGGGCTCCAAAGCGGCCCGCCAGATAGGATCATAGAATAGCTGAGGAGCGAGGGCCAACGAAATGGTGCGGCTCTTCCCACTCATCTTCGAATCAAGAGCTGCAGCCGCCTGCGACCTAAGATGATCCAGCTCCTGCACGGTGGCGCCTTGCACCGAGGTCCCAAAGGGAACAGCAGTTTCTAGGGACGCACGGGCCATGATGGCCAATGTGCGCCTCCTGGCGGCGCCGCCCTGGAGGTGTTTGTGGCGTTTCAGCTTGTCCTTGGAAACCTTGATCCTGGATCTCCGAGTGGCCCTCCTGAGAAAACGTCCAGAACTGAAATCGACTCCGAGGTTTCGCTCATGAACAGCTCCTTGGGCCCTCAGTGACACAAGCTTATTTGCAAGCTGATCACGCAGCAAAGTGTC